TCAGTCTCTCGGTCAGGAGACGGCCAGTACTGAGCACACTTGACCTGTGAAACGATGTGAGAGGAGAGAAGCTGACTGTCGCTCAGTGAGGAAGAAGAACGGAGCAAACAATACGAAGGTCTAACTAAATCAGATAAGAAGCTTCTCAAAGAAAGGATATTTCTCTGTGACTCGCGATCTTACCCTGTTTCCCTCCTCACATCGTGTTACCATGACGATAATTGAGGACTGCTGTTCCCAGATCATCCTCCAGAAGTCATTTATAGTTTCTTCCTTTGGTCCTGCAGCGAAAACACCGTAGATAAGCATCATGCATCACACAGTTCAGTGCAGCTGTGTGAAGAACGCGAGCGTGACTTTACCTTGAGCTGCGATGTACTTTTTGGACTCTTTGAATCCCTGCAGGAAGAACGGGAGTGATGTTTGACTGTTTTATCAAACAGATGTCATGAACGTTATGTTGAACAAGCTGAACGTTTTTACATACGTCAACGAAGCTGGCGTTGATGTAGTCGCATCCTGGCTCTCCGTTTCCTGTGGTTAGCTGGACGCGGTTATAATCATCTAGTTCAAGACAAAAAATAAAATAAATAAAATAAATGATGACAGTCTTCACAGTAACTCTCAGTAAGTTTAATAACATCGATCAGCTCACAGGGCAGAATGTCCACGTAGCGGTTCTTGACAGAATTGCAGGACTTCTTGGCCTCTTTCACCGTGTATCGTGAGAAAATTCTTGGGATGCTCTGCAAGCAAATTAAAGCAACGTCCTTTAAAAAACATACACTTTGGACTCCAACCGTCTAACATGTATTAAGATCAAGTTTTGGCCTTTTGTTTTCCATTGTCTGCTCCTCTGACATACTATGGTAAATAAATTCCTGAAAACAAATAACAGAAATAGAAATACCCCCTAGCAAAGACCACAGAGTGCACTTACCTGAAACTCAGCCAGGAAAAGTCTCCCCTCATCAGCGAGCTTCCTCTTGTAGGTTTCCAGCAGGACCTCTGCTGCGAT